TTTTTTTTTCTGTCGGTTCTGTATCTGTAGTAGGTAAAGATGCACGGTTTAGAGTTAGATCCAGATCAGAACTTAGCGTAATTATTAATCATTTTGATAAATATCCTTTACAAAGTACTAAAGCTCTTAATTTCAGATATTTCTGTGAGATTCTTATTAACGACAAAGTTCATACTAATATACCAGGTTTTTTAAAATTAGCTTCTTTAATAAATAGATTGAATAAACCTTTATCTGATTCTTTATTAGCTAAATTAGCTCTATTAGGTCCTTTGCCTAAAGTAGAGTTTGAAACATCTTATAATTTTAGTTCTGAAAACATGGTGCAAATTCTAAATCCCTTCTGGATATCTGGGTTCGCTGCTGGTGAAGGTTCATTTACTTATTTTACAAAAACTCGTGTGAATTCAGCAAACAAAACTGTTAAGGATTATTTTCTTGTGTTTGAAGTTAGTCAAAGAACGCAAGATTTACATTTATTAAATTTAATAGCTTCTTATTTTAAAACAGGGAAAGTTTACACTGAAACTAGCGGAGTTAGCAGATTTAGATTAAGTGGTAAAGATCATATTATTAGTACCTTAGTACCTCACTTTAGAGATTATCCGTTACAAGGTCATAAGAATCTACAATATTTAGCATGGTTAAAAGCAGTTCATCTTTTAACTGACCAGGTTAAAACAAAGGAAAGAAACGAAGAATTAGAAATATTAATAAAAGATTTATCTAGTTTAAAATAACATAACTACACAGAATTCGGCATTACAATCCTAGTGTAGCAGAAGCATTTAATAGTGTTGAGCATAGCGTAATGTGCTCGTTAAATCAACCCGTATGCTGGAAGTTCCTAAAGATTAAAAGATTAAACTTCGCTTACGAAGTTAATAAAAATATTTAAGATATTTATGGATAATCAGCAGGAAACCAAAGTAATTCAATTACGAGTAAGATCCTCAGAGACTACATGGTTGACATACTTACTGTATGATGATATAGTCCTATATTGGTTGAAAGATCAATAGTTAAAGATTAATCCATTATACCTATTTAACGGTCTAATATTATTGCCTACTTACGTATCGGGTCATAAAAATAAAATGGGATTTTGTAACTATTCTACTAACTGTAATAAAAATTCTAATGTACGTACTGAAGACAACCTATTGAAAAATGTTTCCAGCGAGTTCTTATACTGATTTTCAGGATTAACAGATGCGTCTAGCCGAAGAAAATATAGTACTAAGAAATCAAGTACTAAGAAATCAAGTACTAATAACGAATTAAATTTAGTAATTTGAGGTACAAATTTAAGGTCTCAAGTGGGTACAGGTAAATTTACAAAGTTAGTTACCTCTATGATAAAATTACCGAATTATAATAAGAGTATTATAATAGGATTATTATTATCAGATGGTTGGTTAACCTTTGCAAGTAAAACAAATAAAAATGCACGATTAGGGTTTAAACAAACTATAAATAAAGCATCTTATGTATGGTTTATTTTTAATGAATTATCTCATTATTGTAGTAGTTACCCTTATTACGCAGAAAGTAAAAGATCAGGAAAAGTACTTTATAATTTAGGTTTTTTTACTCGAGGATTGACTTGTTTCACTGAATTATACCCATTATTCTATATAAATAACGTTAAAATAGTACCAGAAGATATTTATAATCTTTTAACTCCAGTTGCTCTAGCTCATCTTATCATGGGAGATGGTGGATTTAAAAGTAAAGGTATTTATATTTGTACTGACTCTTATACTATTCAAGATACAGTCCGATTAATGAATGTATTAATTATACGTTATGATTTTAAATGTACTCTTCATAAAGCTAGTAATGAACATGGATATAGGATATATATTTCTCGGAATTCATTATACAAAGTAAAAAAGTTAGTTAAACCCCATTTTATACCCAGCATGTTTTACAAACTAGGTGGGTAGTCCCTAGGATTAAATCCTAGTAGTAATACATGTAATCGTTACATAGATACAGGTAGGTTATATAAAAATAATTTTATTTTTCATCTAAACCCATAGATAGTGCGTCTAGGGATTAAATGTTGATAAAGGATTCATCTATTTTTGAGTGGCCCCGGTTTTTTTATGTCACCGATTTCCAACAAGGACCTAGGTACTAAGACTAAGGAAATTTTTGGAAAAAGCGAAATCTCCCAATTCATAAGTAATTTAAATCTTAAGTTACCAAATAACAATCCCAAAGATCTACCCATCCATCTTAAAGAAATTATGCCTAGTGCTACAAAAGAATTTATACAATGACTGGTAGGATTTACCGATGCAGAAGGTTTTTTTTATATTTATAACAACAATAGTTGAACTGCAGCTTCTTTAAGGTTTAGTATAGAATTACATGCAGATGACATAAGAGTTTTACACAAAATAGCTCAAACTTTAGGTGTTGGAAGGGTAGTTAAAGATAAAAAACGTAATTCTGCTGTATTTTATGTAGTTAATTTTAATGATATTAATAGAGTGATCATACCTTTATTTAAGGAGTTCCCTTTACAAACTACTAAATATTTGGATTTCACTTTTTTCTCTAAAGCGGCCCTAATAAAATCGAAAAGCCCCGAAGGTGTAAGTAAATTAAGTAAAACAGATTTAATTGGTATTAAAACCTAAAGGAAACTATGAATAGTAAAAGATTGACTATAGATAAAGAGCAAGAAGATTTTTTAAGTAACAAAGTTTCTATTAATACCTGATGATTATTAGGTTTTGTAGAAGGAGAGGGAACATTTGGGTATAAACATCTTGTTCCGTATTTCCAAATTGCTCAACATAAAAAAAATCTTTTTGTTTTAGTTGCTATAGAAACTTTTCTGTCCAATATATTCAAAGAATCAACTAAAACATTAGATTGCGAGGAATTTAATGTTAAATACAAATTAAATAAGGTTACAGGTGTTTATAGCATAACCCTTGAAAGAATCGATTTAATTGTTTATTATATTGTACCTTTATTTGAATCCATGTCATTTTTTACCAGAAAATCTGTAGATTATCATTATTGAGTTATTTCTGTTATAATGCACAAATTTGGTTATTACTACTTACCTGAGGGAAAAAAAATTGCTCTACAAATATCTTCAGGGACGAATAAATACCGTTATAGTACTAACGATTTAAATAAAACAGAACTACCTGGTGTCGACTCTTTATCCAAACTTTTTGCTCAAACGCCACCTTTTGATGTAAATAGTGGTCGTAGTCACTTTGAGTTAGTTAGAGAATTTACTATATCTAAAGGTGGACGTAAAGGTTTTATTGTTTATGTTCATAGCTCTGAAGGCTATAAAGAACTAAAAGGTTCACCTTTTTCTTCTTATGGTGCCGCACATATAGCTATAGATCTAAAGCCTGGTAGTAGAGTGATAGGGAGATATATCGATACAGGCAAATTATATAAAGATAAATATATCTTTTCTTCTGTTCCTGTATAAATTAATTACACATAAAATTAATGAATTATTACTTAAATTTTTAGATTGTTATTTCTTAT